CGCATAGATACATCGACCATCTAACACAAAACTGCTTCTTTGATCGGCTGGCATGGGTGGCATAGTGGTCCTGGTGGGAATCTCATTCTCACATGCACTTTCTAGCTTGTCAGTCCACAACGTAATTGCAGTATAGATGTCAGTACAGTGGAAATCCAGTAGGTCAAAGGGAAGAACTTATCAGGTGCCTCGAACCGAAGGCCTGCTCGACTTTGCGGAGCAAGTGACATGTGTTGTGGAACAAATTGCTGGGGGAGAGAGCGAATTTATAGGCTTCTCGGCTCCTGTCGCGTACATGCTCTATTAGGGAGCAAACGTTAAAGGACACGATGTCTATCCTAAGTGAGGCCTGTTGTAACATATACCGCAAGTATTTGCAGCGAATTTCTTGGTGTGATTTTAAATGCTCACCGAGAAAACATGCTAGAGTCAAGTAGAGAATGAGTCAAAGTGAGTCGGTTAAGAAACGTTGGATCACTGTTGAATCTACGGTCTTAATATTGAGGCAATGGAAGCTGTTCATTCTTTGATTTTACCAAGAGCGCTCACATTTTTATCTAAGGAGCATGGAAATTTTCTGGCCTCGCTCGAGTGTTGATTGTCTGAGCTGTGTGTGGTTCTGTCCGTCTAGGCTGCGGAAAGCGTCAGTCGCGCGGGCACGGGTACTCAACCCGTCACCCGTTGAAGCTTGGCCGTCCTTGTTGACGGACGGGAGTCAACTTTTGAACTTGTGATCATGGTTGAGATAGATACCTTGTTTTTTCGATTTTCTTTTTCAGTCCTCTAGATTTTACTCTATTTACTTTTGGGATTTCTGAGCTCTCAAACGAATGTGGAAAACGCGTTGTGATTGAATATATATCTCCCGGACAGTTCATCACCAGAAGCCACTAATATGAGGCACATTCACCAACCATCAACACCACCATTGAATGAGCTGCCAACAGAGCACTGAAATTCAAAAGCCGACTGTGTGATTGATTTTCACTATGACAGTGAGATTGAGCATACTGTAATGGAATGAAGATGTGTCTCCCATGGAAAGGCCTTCTTTACCGGGCCCTGCCACTGGTTTGAAGGCTTTCTATCCCGTCTACTCTTTGCCTTGTTGTACCTATATGTTGCCATAAATCACTCATTCCATAAATTTCTCTGTGACAACTTATTTTGTCGACATGGAAACCAGCTGCCGCTTTTCGAAGCCCCGAAGCACACTCGTGCACACCAACGGCTCTGTCGACCCGAGATTCCATTTATGTGGCAGTATCATCCTACTCTGCTTTATCTACCGTATGTCTCAGTGCCCTTCATCCATAAGCAATACGGCCACAGCTTTGGTTTCTCTCTTAGTCAATCTCATTTGTTTTGGGACTTCTACCTTTTGTCACTACGTGCTGTACTCGAGAAAGCAGCTCCCTTCTTCCTACTTCCTGCTGGACCACCTTGGAATTATTCTTCACATATGGGGGACATCTGTATCAGTCTTGCTTTTAGAGGCTACTGATAGCGGGAACAACAATTCCATTTTCCTGGGAGTCACACTGGGCGGGGTGGTCTGTGCCACTTATTTGATAACCTGGCCAAGAGAGAAGAGAGAACGAGTGCTGGTGATTGGAGGGTCTGGAGCCTTGGTTTTATGCAGCGTCTCGCTCTACAACGCTGTCTTTTCTGATATATCTCGACTGACACCCTCTTATATCTTTATGGCTTTGGTTAACGGCATCGGAGGGTGGTTCTACTCTCATGGGTCTATTCAAGTCCTGAGTCAACGTTCACCCAAGCCCTATACTGTGTCGGGGCATACGTTGATGCACCTATGCTCCCTGATTGCATCCATATTTCACGCTTCAATCTTGGTTTCTTCTGTTTGTTTCTGACACACTTGAGCCCTTGATAACATGAGGTTTCGATTTCGGCTATTTTTATGAGAATTCGGTCATGTTAGTTGATAATGTCGATGGCACATAAGATCCCGAATCAGCTCGGCGGCGTATACCGACCATCGGCCTATCGGCTCGACCTGAACCTGTGATAATTCTGTAATCTCTAGGCTGTCCTCCAGCGCTACGGCTGCAGCGCCGTTGCAGCTCACTCCTGACATACACCCCTGTCAGTGTGTATTGGCACCAACGGAAGGCTAATTTGAGATTAAGTGGTCTGTGTACTCCTCAGAGTGGACTCCACGACCTGTGGCTTATTACGCGGCTATGCCCCTCTTTGAATGCTCAAGCGAACTGATCTTGCCATATCACCTATTCTCATGATATTAAATCCATTAAACGTCAGACTTCGAAAGGTTGAAGCCATCTCGCGGGTTGTCTGCGGACTAGTTCCCACTGTCAAGTTCCAAAGGAGAGGGCCAGCCCCGTATCAGTATTCGACTTAGAGGTTTTACAGTAGCAGGTTGTCGGACTTGAATAAATTACATCACACGAATTCATAATTTGTAGCCCAGTAGGCTTCCAATGCCTGAGTAATTGCTCCCCTTCACCACACCTCGTTATTGCATAACATTCCGCCGCCCATAAACCTCATGTAAATAAACTGGTAAGTTGTATACCAGCCCTGGCGATACGGCACCATCTATGGGAGATGTTCCAATGCTTTATACCTCAATTGTTACATGCCTTGCTGACCAGTAGTTAATTACCAACCCCTTCCTTTAGGGAAGGCGGTATTGGCTATATTGGGCGGTGTATAAAATAGGGCCAATGGGGAGCAATTACTTATGTCCAGTCTCTGTAAGTAATTGCTCACTGGCGTCCCACTCCCCTTATAATATGATATTCTGCCGGCTATGAACATTGCACCATTAACCAGCCTGGCGCTTGATACGCTCGTGTATAGCACATATAAGCAACTTGGAACGAGCTATATTGAAAAACATAATGTAAGAGGTGTATTGAAAGGGTAAAAATAAACACAGCCCCGCGTGCTGGATTAGCGTGGTTGTATGTTACACATTTAGGAAGGCGGTATAAAGCAGGGCCGTGAGGGAGCAATTACTTACGTACTCACCTGTAAGCCAAGCCAGCTGCACCTCAATATCCAATTTTATCTCCCAAAACAAGAATAAGTGGGCTCGATCCACGACCACGCAGTATATGACATTGGCATATTACCCTGGCATGCTTCTCGACACCAGCTTCAAGGTGTTTTTTGTTCTGACTCAACATGATCCATCCCCGGCCACGGACGCCCGCTTAGAAACGCCATCTGCCAGAAACTTCGCCGTCTTCAAATGCGGCAGCAACTTCCTCAGTTTTTTGCTTGGTCTCTCCCTAGTATTACACCCTAGCGACGTGCACAATCACATGCCAAGTGGGCGAGTGGCCCTGAATCGTCCTGTAGATCAGGGTCGCTGCCACTAGAAAGTAACAGATGCACGAACCCTATTCTGCCTGTGAGGACTGCTAGGTGGAGCGCCGTTCGGCCGTGTTTGTGCTTGATGTCCACCTGGACGTTGGGTTGATTTAAGACGCTCTTGACGGCGGAAAGGTTTCCGTAGCGGACGGCATACCACAGGGCGCTCTCCCGCGCTTGATTTTGAATGTTGATGTCTAGGTCTCCACGACTGAGGAAGAGGTCCCGCACAGCAGCGGAAGAGTATTTGAGTGCCCTCATTAAAGGAGGTTTGCCTCGGTAAAATGCATTGATGTTGGCGTTGTGCTGGAGCAAAGCCTCCGCAAGACCAACGTTGTCGTATTTGACGGCCAAGTGCAACAGATTGCTGTTCTGAAATTTGATGTTGTATTTCCAGATGCTGGGCTGCAGTTTAAAATCAAAGTCTTTGCATGATTTTGCGAGAGAAATAATGCACTACCGTCCAAATACGACACAATCCACAGCAAAAGCTCGTTGGGCAGGTCTCTGATGTTTGGCTGTAGTGTATTAGCTTATCGGTAAACTCCGTAAGAACGAATTGAAACAGACCATGATTGGACAACGGATGGAGCAAACGAAATGTAGATAGGGGTGAGGTGAGAGTTGTGAAAGTAGGATATGGGAGGCCTTTATATACTCGCCTCAGCCAAATTC